TACAGAAGATCAGTTTAGCATATATTAAGTAAAGATTTCAACAGTTTGCACCCACATAGAAACACAAAGTGAAAAATACTGTTTGAGTACTAGTTATAGCATTAAATCACAATGTACAGAACACTAAGGACAGAGATCCTACATGAGGAGTAAGTGCACAGTGACTCCTGTTGTTGACTTAACAAATTGACACTCTTGTTTATGGCATCAGTAATCACCCTAGGCTCTTGTCATGAGCTGCCAAGGCTATGGAAGCCTTTTGAGTTCACCGACTCTGATCATATTTAGGCAAGGTTGTAGTCAGAGTGGAAGTTCTCTCCTCCCTTCAGAGAAAGGTACCTCCTTCTCTTATGACCTGTTCTTTCCACTGGGATCTCACTCGCAGAGATCTTTCATTTAGGTGTTTTTTGTTTTTTTGTTTTTTGTTTTTTGTTTTTTTGCCAGTGTGTCTTGGCTTTCCATGCCTGAAATACTCTCAGGGGCTTTTCAGCTGGATTCGCATGCCTTAAGGGCTGATTCTGAGGCCAGAGTGCTGTTTAGGACATCTGCCATTCTATGAGTCTGCTGTGTATCTCGCTTCCCATGTTGGATTGTTCTCTCCCTCACACCCACCTCTTGGAATAACTTTTTTAAAAAATTTTTTTAAATACAAAGGAGAAAATCACCCTCAAATTTAGTTTCATTTTTACTGGAGTATGAAAGTGGAAATCTTCAAAAAGACCCCCAGGCAGGTGACACAGTCCTGGGAGCTCTAGGAGCTTGCTTTCAGAGGTCTTTGGATCCAGAGACCTATCTCTGAGCCCAGGAAGCAAGAACAAACAGGACCAACCATTTCAGGTTCCTAATACTGTGGATAATTATGAGTCATTATGTCTAGTGTCTCCACGGACTGGATTCATTCTAACTTAGATTAAGCAATGCCTACATTATCATCAAAATAACAATAGTACTTCTTGAACCTCAGGAGGTTTCCATAAAACTACAGAGACAGGCTGTAACCTTCTTGTTGAGTTTGGCAGGAAGGCAAAAGGAGGGAGCAGTGTGAGGTGTGCGTATTTGTTTCCCAGGCTGCCTGCCTGTGGGTTCATCTCGGACGAGTTGCCTCCATCAACCAACGGACACCAGCTGCTCTCCAGGGATCCTTTTCCACCTGACGCTTCTGGGATCTAGTAAGAGCTTCCTTCCTAGATTCCTCAAGCCTGGGGTAACATCCTCACTGCCGCTAGCCCTTGGGATTACCCACATCATGCTCAGACCTCCCTGAATTGTCCTAACATTAGTACACTCTGTGTTTCTTTACACCCTTATGTATAGTCATTAAAAATAAACACTTATTAATAGATACTGATGACCTCTTTTTAAAGACTTGTGGGTTTTATTTTTTTTATTTGAATGACAGTGACAGAGAGAGAAAGAAAGTGCTTCAGCTGTATCCTAGATGAATGCAACAGCCAGGGCTGGGCCAGACCAAAGAAAGGAGCCTGGATCTCCATCTGAGTCTCCTACTTGGGGGCAGGGACCCAAAGATTTGGGCCATAATCTGTTGCTGCTTTCCTGGGTTCATTAGCAGGAAACTGGATTGGAAGCAGAGGAGTCGTACTTGAACTGCACTCTGATATGGATGTGGACATCTCAAGTGGTGACTTAACCAATTGTGCCCCAAAGCCCACCCCAAATGCTGATAACTATTAAAAGAGAATTGGAGGCCAGTGCTGTGGCTCACTAGGCTAATCCTCCACCTGCGGCCCTGGCACCCTGGGTTCTAGCCCCGGTTGGGGTGCCGGATTCTGTCCCGGTTGCTCCTCTTTCAGTCCAGCTCTCTGCTGTGGCCCGGGAAGGCAGTGGAGGATGGCCCAGGTGCTTGGGCCCTGCACCCCATGGGAGACCAGGAGAAGCGCCTGGCTCCCAGCTTTGGATCAGCGGGGTGCGCCAGCCACAGCGGCCATTGGAGGGTGAACCAATGGTAAAAAGGAAGACCTTTCTCTCTGTCTCTCTCTCTTTCAATAACTCTGCCTTTCAAAAAAAATAAAAATAAAAAAAGAGAAGAATTGGATATAATTCTTGATCTCATTTCTTCAACTTATCTATTCAACAAATAATGATTGAGCATCTGTGTGACAAGTCCTGAGAACATGCGCATGTGGTAAGGTGTGAGCATATAGCCAGGGAGATGATGAGGATAATGTTACAGGGACGCCAGATAAAGAAGATTCATTGAAACTTCTGCTTTGATTGTAAACCAAATGCAGCTGAGTGTATGAGCGCTGGCATCAGATAAGCCTGGGTGTGCATCCCAGCTCTGCCACTAGGTAATTCTGGGCTCATTACTCAATGTGTTTAAACCTCTGGCTAGGTTACAACTAAATCAGAATATGAAATTATGGGCAACTATTGCACACTGTGGTGACTGTAGATTATATATTAATATACTGTATATTTCTCTGCAAAAAAAAACAAATAGAAGATACAATTTTGGATGTTTTCAACATAAAGTGTTTTAAGAGACAAGTATATTTATGCTGATTTTTACTTATATTTTCCCATTTACCAAAACATTGCATAGTATGCTTTTAATATGTACAACTTCTTATGTGTCCATTAAAAATTTTAAATAAGTAAATAAAATAAAAACAACATCAACAATAAAGTATTAAACGAAGACTCTGTTTCCCCATCTCCAAAATGGAGATAATAGCGGTGGAAGAAGCTGTAGGCTGGGTAAGAACTGAACCTGGTCCTCACTGAGGGCAGTGGCCATGTGTCTGGGAGATAGACTCGGGGAGGGATATAAGAGCCGGGGAGCTGGTTAGCCGTGGAGACTTTGAAGAAGGTCACTCACAATGGAAACTGACAAGGAAGAGACTGCAGGTGTCCAGCTGGCAGTTTTGAACACATTTTTCAGGTAGTTTGGTAACTCCGCAAGTCCAGCAGGGGTGGGGAACCACTTTTCTGCCAAGGACCATTTGGATAGTTATAGCATCATTTGCACGCCATACAAAATTATTAACTTAAAAATTAGCCTGCTGGGGCTGATCTTGTGGCATAATGGGTTAAGCTGGCAGCTGCAGCGCTGGCATCTCCTATGGGTGCTCATTCAAGTCCCGTCTGCTCCGCTTCTGATCCAGATCCCTGCTAATGTGCCTGGGAAAGCAGCAGAAAATGGCTCAAGTCCTGGGCCCCTACTACCCTCACGGGAGACTCAGATGAGGCTCCTGGCTCCTGGCTTCAGTCTGGCCGATTGCAGCCATCTGGGGAGTGAACCAGCAGATGGAAGATTCTCAATCTCTTTCTCTCTCTCTCTCTCCCTCTTTCTCTCTCTCTCTCTCTCCCGTTTTCTCTCTGTCACTCTGCCCTTAAAATAAATAAAATAAATCTTAAAAGAAAAATCAACTGTCTCTGTAATTCTGCCTTTCAAATAAATACAATAAATCTTAAAAAGAAAATTAGCCTGCTATAGATTTATTAAATTTTGAGTCCCACCTGCGGTTGCCTTAGCAGCACCAGACCAGATGTTTTGGTGGGCCTTATACGGCCCATGGGCCAGATATTCCCCACCCCTGGAGGGTCCTCTCCCAGAAAACCTAACTGCAAATCTAATTAGGGCTGCCTTTGGCCTGAACTTGAGGCCACCCAGAAGATTGGATGTCTCCTTTGCATTTCAATATGTTTTTGATTGGCCTAAGGGGTGGGTGGATGTGTTTTGAAACTAATTCTTAGAAATTTCATGTATGTTTTCAGGTCCTACCAAACATTTTCCCGCTGTCACTGTCAATCATATTTTGAAAGATGTGTTAACCAACTACCTACAAGAGGAAGCATATGAACCGGAGCTCTGTAGACAGATGACTAAAACCATCTCTGAGGTACGTGTGTGATTTGCCTGAAGTGTTAACTAACACTTCAGTGTTCACTGAAAGCACAGACCACCTCCAACATGTTTATGAAGGAAGCCAATTTGCAATAACATTTAAAATGCACGCTTATATTTTATAAAGACACTTATCGGGTCATATTCTGTGTGTGTGTGTTTGTGTATAAAGCTTTTGTCCTAAGTAATCATTATTGTATTTTGTAGAAAAATGTATAAAGCTGACCCCTTATTAAAAAGTTTATTGTAAAGATATAATATTTTAATGACCATTTCCTCTTCTCTAAGGCAAGTTCTCAGTGTGTTAAATATGGATATTTTATTTTTATATATATTTAAATATATTCCCATTTTTATTACCTAAAAGACTGGCACCTCATTATGTTTTCCTCTAACTTCCATTTTATGACAAACTCCTTAATAAACATTCATGATCCCTTAGAGTACAGAAGACTCCAGATGTACAGGCCCTTAAATAGACACAAGCAAGACAGTGGAACTCTGATGCCAACATTCTTCGAAGGGAAGCCTTCCTAACCTAGATTTTCCAAGAATGTAATAAGCCATTGCCTTCTGCGCTCTGTATTGCAGTTTTCTCTTGTGCCTTAGAGAATGTAGATTTATTGCTGGTGTTGGCATTTTGTCCCTGAAGGTCCTATCTCATGAGGCTATTACTTAAGGGAAATCATAGTTACAGTTCTACTGGATGCACACATTCATATACTCAAGCTTCTACAGCGCATCATGTTATTGTCTTAAATTAAATCCACTGTGTTTATGACCAAAACTAAGATTTTTGAGTTTCCACATGGCTAAATCAGAGCCTTGTTTTCAATTTTCAGGTTATTAAAGCCCGGGTCAAGGACTTCATCCTTCCACGGTACAAACTAATCGTAATCATTCACATTGGACAACTGAGCAGTCAGAGCATATTTATTGGAAGCAGATGCCTGTGGGATCCTAAAAATGATGCTGTTTCGTCGTATGTGTTCAGAAATTCTTCCCTCTTTGCTGTTGCAAATGTCTATGCAGTTTACTTTGAGTGATTGAAAATAAAGATAGTTCTCACTTTCTGAAATCATGAAACGGGCTGCATCATGTACCCAAAAGTTTTACTGCCAAGAACAATGAACAGGGAAACAATGGTAATATTGCAAACAACTGGAGGCTTTTAGATTTTTTCATTCTCTTATAAGGATTGCGGGAGGGGAGGGTGGCACAAGGAAGAATCTTGTTTATCCACAGCAGACACTAATCTTAGTTCTCCTGGGTTGCTTTTCATAAACATAAATTCTTATTGAATATTTCTCTGAGTTCCCATCATTTTAATTACTTGAGAGTTAGAAGTCCCCACATTACTTTTTAACGAAGGGAAAAATTAAAATTATATATATAGTTGTACACCCTGACCCTTACATGACAGTGGAATATTCAGCATGGGATACACAAATGATAAATGTTATATGCCTCAGTGCTGCATATAAAAGAATCCTGGTTTCGTTTTGCACTTAATAAATTGAGCAGCATTCATTAACTGCAATTATTGTTACATGCACCTGACAGTTGAAACTGCTGAGGTAGAATTAATAACTTCATAACAATTACCATGGTCCCGCGGGGCCCCAAAGCTAAAACGAGAAGCTCTTGTGGGTTGCCTGCACTTTACAAAATTGTGGGAGAACGGAAAGTTCGCTCCTCTGTAATGGAGACTATAAAGCGGACAAAGGCTTTTTAGGACCCTGAAGTAGACGCTAGCTATGAAATATACATGATGCTTAATAGTAAATGTATCTGTAAAACATAAAATCGTGCATTGGAAAGAGACACTACTTTTAAATAGACATGGGCTAATGTGCTGTTGAATAGGTTTTCTTAGGCTAATGAACTTTTACACAAAATATATAGTTGGCAGCTTAACAAATAAAACATGTGTATTTACCTTTTTGTTCCTGTGAATTTAATACTAAAGTTTCCCAGTGAGGTTTTGAATGGATGAGCACTAAAATTTCCGGGGCTGAAATAGCTGATTATTCTTCTGGTTAATGCATCTTGTAGCATGGATCATTTATTTTTATGGAGCTTTCAAGCCTTGGCGTGCGTGTAAAATGGTCCTGTAGCGTTATTCTTGGATGGTAAGTGGACTGCCTAGAGGACATTTGTTAAAGGTCAAAGACAAATGGTTCACGTATGGAGAAAATTAGCAACGCTGTGGTCTTACGGAAAGAATGATGTGTAATTCATATCAAGCAGAATTTGACAAATGGAAAGCCAGTCAATGCTTTGTAATTTTAAAATGCTTTGCTGTCTCACTTTTCCCCAAAATGATACGCAGGAAAAAGTAAATACTTTTAAATCGCTTTCCTTCTGCTTGTTCTGTGCTTGTGAAGTGGTTTCTCAAGATGAGTTTGCCAATTTTCATAATTTCTTTCTGTTTGTCCATTAGTAGGAATATGCCAGTGTAATAATTTATCACAACCAGTATTTGTCAATCTCCATAGGCCTGTTTTGAACTGAGATTAGATTGCAAATGTAGCCAGCCAATGGGGCTTCTATTTCCATTATATATTTGTATATATTTCCCCTCTTGGACAATAGCAGAGGCAATAGTAGAAATTTTGCATTAATAAATCAGAATAAAGAAAATGCTGTAGCATTCAAAAGTTTATATAAAATTTACATTTTTTAAAAAATGTTGTAAATTCAAATCCATGAGAATTTCTTACTTTGTATAGTAGGCTATGTTATGAACCAAAACCTCAAAACACAATAGCAGTTAAAAGACAACAGAAAACCAGAAACCAAGAATTTTGCCATATACTGTCGTCAGATGGATTCAGTGGTTAATTCTAGCTATTCCACAATAATGCAGGAAGACGTAGTAAGAACTCACTAACCGTGACAAATCTGGGAGAATGACAGCTATCAATCAAAGCCTTCTGATAGGAAATTTGTAAAGAAATGACACTGTTGATTTGAAGGAGTTGCTTTACTTTGAAACATCCCAAACTTCCCTACCGTTTCATCTCTCCGTAGTCGTTCCCAAGGTGCCGTCCTTTGTCCCACACTGGCCATGCCCATTCCCAAGCCTTCACCTGTGCCTTGCCCCGCCTCCTCGGAACGGCTGCCTTTCGAGAAAGCAGCTTACACATCACAGCAGGGGTCGGGAACCTCCAGCCCGCAGGCCATCGAAGGCCCACAGAATCATCTGGTCTGGTCCTGCCAAAGCAACCGCAGGCCAGACTCAAATGTTGGTAAATCTATAGCAGGCTATGTTTTAAGTTGATAATTTTGTACGCCCTGCAAATGTCGTTAGAAATATCCAGATGGCCCTGGGCAGAAGAAAGTTTCCCCGCCCCTGTGTTACAGCTTCAAACACAGATCTCATTTTTCTCCTGATCCTTCTCCATCCATTGCTTCCTCCCGCTCACTCTCTAATCCCTCTTGGTTGAGTTTCTGACTGGTATCTAGGTAATTTTGAATATTAATTTTATTTTATTTTCTAGACAAAAAACATGCTGAGTACATGGACCACATATCCTGTCAGCACCTAATACTAAAGTTCAATTCAAGTTTACTTTTTTTTAAGATTTATTTTATTTATTTGAAAGACAGAGTCACAGAGAGGCAGAGGCAGAGAGAGAGAGAGAGAGAGAGAGAGAGAGAGAGAGGTTTTCCATCCATTGGCTCATTGCCCAGATGGTCGCAATGGCCAGAGCTTCGCTGATCCCAAGACAGGAGCCAGGAGCTTCTTCCAGGTCTTCCACGTGGATGCAGGGGCCTAAGGACTTGGGCCATCCTCCACTGCTTTTCCAGGCCATAGCAGAGAGCTGGATCAGAAGTGGAGCAGCCGGGACTTGAACCGGCGCCCATATGGGATGCCATCACTGCAGGCAGCGGCTTTACCTGCTCTGCCACAGCACTGGACCCCCGTTTACTTTTAAATCAAGAATCATGAGCATTGCATCAACAACCACAATGCGTAGTTCAATCTTTGAGGAACTGGGACCCTATATGACTGATAAGAGAGTACCCCTGTCCATAATACAGATTAGAATATGTTGTCCTGGCTGGCGCCGCGGCTCACTTGGCTAATCTTCTGCCTGAGGCACCGGCACCCTAGGTTCTAGTCCCAGTTGAGGTGCCAGATTCTGTCCCGGTTGCTCCTCTTCCAGTCCAGCTCTCTGCTGTGGCCCGGGAAGGCAGTGGAGGATGGCCCAAGTGCTTGGGCCCTGCACCCGCATGGGAGACCAGGAAAAGCACCTGGCTCCTGGAAGGAAGACCTTTCTCTCTGTCTCTCTCTCTCACTGTCTAACTCTGCCTGGCAAAAAAAAAAAAAAAAAAAAAAAAAAAAAAAAAAAAAAAGAATATGTTGTCCTAAGAAAAGCCTGGAATATATTTATTTGATTAAAGGAACCATGAAAAGTTTCATGAAAGAAAGTGGCAATTTAATCTAAACTGTGAAGGCGATAAGTAGAATTTCAGTGGACAGAGGCATAAAAGGGAACGAGTGGATGAAATACAGTATTCACGATGATAAGTAGACAGAAGGGAGATCGGAAGAGTACATGCTGCAAGTCTGAGTAAAAAAACTGCATTCAAATTTGCACTATTCCTGAAGATGCTTCTATTCAACTAATAGCATAAGTGAACTGACTCTCTAAGAAGAGAAATATGTTGGGAAAAAGTAAGAAGCCACGCTGTGGAGGTGAGAGGGGGTGAAAAGCTGAACTAGGCAGTGGCCTTGAAAATCGAAAGGAAAAGACAATTGAATGGGACATCATAGGACAAAGTCCACATGATTAGGCAGACAGGAAGCAATGGGTCTAAGGTGATACAACCATTCACACTCTGAATGTTTACAAACTTAGATGTGAGTCTAGCTGTCCCGGGCACTGGTTAAATGACCTCAGGTAAATTACTAATCTCACTAAGACACAGCTTTCCCATGGTAAGGTAATAATAAGCTTAGTACCTACCCCACAGGATTTTGGAAGTCTGGATACATATGCTTGCTAAACTCTTGACAGCTTAATCTCTAATAGTCAAGTCTCAATGAATGATAGTCCCAATGATGGCATTGCCTAACTAGATCAATGGTCATACTATCAAAAACAAGGAGAAGGAAGAGTTTGAGGGATAAAATCCTAAATTTGATTTTGCCCTTTTTGAGTTTAAGTTACTCATGGGAAGTTAGGTGGAACTAGCTGCAGGCAGCTGAAGGAGTGGGAGCGGAGCTGAGCTCCAACGTCAAGGTGAGAGATTTCCACTTGACAACCATCCAAATTGATACCTAGCATCTTCCTCCTGCTTTATAAAATATTCATCAGCAGGCTTCTCAGCAAGTAGAGTCGGTACTAATAGCAAATTACTGCAAATTCAGTTAGCTCTAAAACCCTTCCCCAAAATCAATAGGAAGAAAATTTTCCCTAAAACAAAGATTAAATGATGCCTTCCCTTTTTCCTATATTTTAAAAAATTCCAGTGTGATTGCCTTCTGGTATCAGACATCAAAACAGCTGTTGAAAAAATTAGAACTGTTAAGTCTACCAATCTGAGTGAATGAACACTTCCCTTATTGGTCCCCTCAGTTGGCCTGTCTTTCTAGATATTACAAAAATTCAACATGAAATAGTTACTGATAATTTACTGTACATGTTTGCTCCCCAAATTAGGAGTGGGCTGCAGCCCCTGTCCCTGCCACTCTTTTTCTGCTACGTTCACTCCCTGCAGTCTGGATCTCATCGTCACCCGTGTGCTGCTTCCACAAACAGTACAAGTGGTCCCCAGGCCAAATGTGCGTGTAGAATGTTTCTCCAGCTGTGTTCCACTCAGCAGTCTTCTGAATTTGTTCTTTTGAGCAGTAATATACTCAAGGGGTTGTGGGATGCTAGCTGTTGTTTTTCTTTAAAGTGTAGATTTGACAAATGTCCCCCTTAGCTTTCAGCCCTTGCCATCTTGTGTGACGCTGGGCAAGGTGGCTCGTGGTATGAGCCCCAATCCCCTCAGAGATAAAAATCACTATAATTATAATCACCTCTTAAGTTCTTGTTGTGAAGACGTAAAGGGAAAATGTACATAAGATATCTGAACCACAGTAGAAGCTTAGGCTTGACCTCTCATTTCCTCCTGGGGAAGCTGTTTCCAAAGGAACTGAGCAGATGTTTTTGCAATGTGTGTTCACCGCCGCGGGTTCTATCCTAGATAATGCATCCTTGGCTTTTCCTTTCTACTATCTTTGAGTGATAAATAATTTCCTCTGAAATCCTCATGCATTATACAATCCTTTTCATGCCCAAATTTAGCCTCTCTTTGCTAATCTGCACCTGCTGGTATGATTTTTCCATGCAAATGTCTTGGCTCCCCCTGCAGTGCCAGGAGTCTTCAGAAAATTCACGGACCATTAGGTGTTTGACACAGCAGTAAAGACGCTGCTTGGGATGTCCACACCCCTTGTTGCAGTGCCTGGGTTGAAGTCCTGGCTCTGCTCCTGATCCCAGCTTCTACTACTGCAGCCCTGGGAGGCAGCAAGTCATGACTCAAGTACTTGAGTCTCTGCCACCTCTGTGGGAGACCTGGATTGAGTTCTAGACTACTGGCTTCAGCCTGGCCCAGCTCGGGCTGTTGCAGGCATTAGAAGAGTGAATGTCAAATGGAAGATCACCCTCTTATTTCTCTCAAGTAAAAATAAATAAATAAATGTATGGAAAATATGTATCATGAAAAACTATGCATGGATTTCAAAATGTATTTGCACCAAAATAAATTTATCTTTTAATTCCATTTTTTTTTTCTGAAAATCTTTTAAGTACCCTGGTGCTTTCTGGATTCCTTTATTGCCATCTATTTTTTTTTCCTGCCTTAGTGCCAATTTGAATTTACATGTTCTCTTCCTCACCTGCATTGGCACAGACTATATAAGGTTGATTAAGGTTTAAATATGTTAACTGTCTTGCTAGAGACTCATGAAATCTCTTGTTAATTTCTTTCTTCACCAATTTAACTAGGGTACACCATTTTTTTTGTTGTTGTTGGTTTGTGTCAGGGCAAGATATAACTTGAATTTTGTGATTTTCCACCCACCACCTGGCTATGTCCCTCCTCAGCAAGGAAAGGAACCAGTATAACCAGTGTGGGAAACATTAAGCTTCACAGAAAGGAAAAATGTTGCTTTTCGAGACACTGATGGGGGTGGAACATCTAACTGTCAAAGGACAGAATATTCAGGCTGATTTGTGGGGTTTTTTGAGTGGCTTATTCTTTTAAATACTTTTTAATAATCATATAAGAAGTGGCCGCCGCCGCGGCTCAATAGGGTAATCCTCCGCCTAGTGGCGCCAGCACACCAGGTTCTAGTCCCGGTCGGGGCGCCAGATTCTGTCCCGGTTGCCCCTCTTCCAGGCCAGCTCTCTGCTGTGGCCCGGGAGGGCAGTGGAGGATGGCCCAAGTGCTTGGGCCCTGCACCCTGTGGGAGACTAGGAGAAGCACCTGGCTCCTGGCTTCGGATCAGCGTGATGCGCCGGTTGCAGCACGCCGGCCGCGGCAGCCATTGGAGGGTGAACCAACGGCAAAGGAAGACCTTTCTCTCTGTC